TTAGCTGTTGACAATATCAAAGGCAATTTTCTTTTACTGCCACCAACTATGGTATTCTCTGGACTCTGTTCAAATGAGTCCCTCAGGGATTCCTAGCAGTTTCATAATTCTAAGAGGAGTTGAGTACCAGTAATTCCTCTTAAATTCTATACCCACAACTCAATTCACACATTTTACCAACTATGTTCTAACTTTTTCATCTTTGCTAATCTAATAAATAAAAGGAGACCCAGGCTATAAACTTTCTAGATATTAAGCCTTAAACTTGGGCACCTCTGTGGATCACCAATTTCAGTTCTAGGAATGTTCCCTAGGAGACAGCACAGATTAAGGGAAAGTGCTGGGAGCCACTGTGACTATTCACACAAATGCCTGAACAGGAGTCCCCAGCACAGAGCCCCTGACAAACACCCAGAGGGCATGGAGTGAGATGAACAGGTGCTCCAGACCTGAGGATGCTGAGTGTTAAAAAGTGAGCTAGTTAAGTAGAGGGGCATGCTGTGACAGATGCATAAATAAATACATTGTTTTGATCAAGAAGTCTCTTTCTCCTATCCAGAGAAGGGCTCTACCTGACCCCAGCTTTCTGTCTCAATCTTTAATTTCTTCATCCTCCTGTTGTTCTTCCCTCAGTGAACTTAAAGAGAGCTCTTGCAGACACCAACAGGAAAGGTGTTCACTGCAACCAGCCTAGTTGGACACAGACTTGTTTACTTAATGCACTTCACACTATGTTTTAATTTCTACTTTTGGGGGTGGGTGGGCGGTAAATACAAACGAATGTATGCTCGTTCCTAACACTTCCAATACTTAGATGTGGAATAAACTTGAGAGCTTGTTTGAAGGTTCTAGCAGGGGAGCTACTTGTACACACTTGACAGAGGAACGGTCCTCCTCCATCAGGGGTGGTTGTCTTCTGTGACAGAGTATGCAGCTTCAGGAAGGGGATACCTGCCCAGCAGCCAGGTCAACCCCATTGATCAATGGGTGACACACTGTCAGCCAGATTTACCTCATGGAATAAACTCCATTTTACCCTTTGCCATGAATGGTTTCCAACTACTACTAACAGGATAGCATGTGTTTTGAACTTTTTAGTTGAATATTTTTAATAATTTGAAGCCAAAATGTGAAAGCTGTTTTAGTAACAAGAGAAATGGAATGTAATTATTCTTTTAATTTTCAACACAAAAGACAGTAACAACTATGTTTCACCTAAATTTGATAGTTTCAACTACATTTTAGTTCTTTTAAGCATGTTCAAGTATAACTCATATTTTCCCCTCAAATAACTCAGTATTTTCCTCTAAAAATTAAACACTTTTCCATAACAATCTCACAATAAAGCTATAAGCTCCAGAGATATAGTCCTTTTGCAGATGGAAAGGGGATCAAGGGATGGAGGGAGACAGGAGACAGAGAGGTGAAGGGGAAATAAAAAGGACTAAGATGTAATATGAACATAGATCAAAGTATTTATTATAAATTACAAATATGTACTAATAAAAAAGTTAAAGCCATAATCTCACAAGATTAATAGTCTTTCTTACAAAGTTTAGAATTCTATGTAGTTTAAAAGAGATTTATATCAAAGTTGCAAAAACAGGGCACAGCCTTCCTGCAAGCCCATTGCTTGGACTAGCTGACAGTGTTCTTGCTATGGAGAAGAACCCTGGCCCTTGAGAATTACCTACAAATGCCTGCACACAGGGTGCTTTCCTTCAGGCATATCCTTGTTTCTGTCTCCTCCCTCACCCTTCACATTTTCAAATTATTCAAGTAGTACTGTTTTCTTAATAGGAAGAAGAAAAAAGGGAACAATGCATAAAAACATTACTTCAGCGCTACATCACCTAAAACGCAAGGTGTGGAGCCACCATAGAGCACATGCAACTAGTGCTCCATCTCCCCGTCCCTTCCTTTTAACTATTGTTACTTCCTGGCCTCCTTTTAAAAACTCTGTAGCACAAACATCAAGATTAAAGTCTTTCCAAGCTGTTCTGTTTGTAACAAACTGCATTCAGCAATTATTTCTGACTCAAGGAGAATCACATTTTGTTTGGTACTGAGATGGGACTTCAGCCACTGTGCACTAGGTAACTGAACAGCCACTAAGCTAGAGTCTCAGCAACAGATCTTCATTTCAAGTGCTAAAAAGGCCCCCCCCTGACGGCTTCCCACAAAGTCTTCATCCACAGGTTCTCCTAGCAGTGAATTTAAAGAGCCACATCTGAGTCTCACCAGTAACAGACACCCTATCACAAGCCAGGTGGCTCAACACATCCAATTAGCAGTGGTGCCAGCTGTCTTTTAAAAAGTTTACTGTTGCTGCTGAACCTGAGCGTGTTCAATTACAGGAATCTGTAATAATACTAAAAGGCTTGTTTTAATACAGTGAAGGCCACATTAAAGGGCACAATAAGTGACATCTGTTCCCATCTTGGTTACTTTTTCCTTGGCTAAAAACTAGCCCCTCAATGCCAAACTCTGTCCTGAGTTTTTGATGCTCAGATTATTAAAATACAGCACCATCCAGCATGATGGCAAGCACTGGGAATCCCAGCTTCAGGAGGCAAAGACAGGAGAATCATTTGAGCCCTCAAGTTTGAAAACAGCTTGGGCAACAAAGCCTGTTTCTTAAAATACAAACCAAATCAAAACACACAACACTAAGTAAGTGCCTTAATTGAGTAGGTATTAGAGGTGTCCTTGGCATGCCTGGGACAGCTCTGTGAAGTATGGACTGGGGCAAGGCAGGAAGCCCACCACCACTTCAAGCGTTATGGGCAAATTCGGTGGGTTAAATGGTAGCTGCCTCTGAATAGTATGTACATACTGCAACGCCTGGAAACTGTGAATGTGACTCCCAAAGAAAAGATATTTGCGAATATGATTAAGTCCTGAATCTGGAAAAAGAAGAGATGATGCAAGATTATTTATGAGCCCTAAACCCAACAAGAGTTCTTCTAATAGACCCACAGAAGAGATATGGGTCGAACAATAAGAACAAGCATGGTAGCACATGCCTATCATTGTAGCGCTGGTAAACTCAAGCAGAATGATTTTAAGTTTGAGATCAGCCTGTATTATGTAGTGAGACCTTGTCTTGAAAAAGAAGATAAAACAACAGTAACAAAAAATAAGCCAGCCATGGTGACACATACCTTTAATCCCAGCATCTGGAGCCTGAGGCAGAATCATGAGTCTGAGGTCAACCTGGGCTATGTAGCCAGACGCGGTCTCACTCTCCTCCCAAAAAAAGCATTTACAAAAATGGCTGGACACTGTGGCTGTCATGATTTATGGTTAGACAATCCCCAAGAGCTCACGCACTCACAGGCAGGGCTTTATAGCTGAGCTGTTATTAAGAGGTGGATCTGGTTGGAAGAGCCAAGTCTTAACAGGCATGACCTGGAAAGGTGTATCTTCTGTATCTTTCTTCTCAACTTTTCCCCTTATTCTCTCTTTCAGCTTTCTGGTTTCCATGATGTAAGCAGTCATTCCTTTGTCATATTCCTGCGCAAGGCTGCACTACCTTAGAACTAGTGGACTATGGACTGAAACCTCTCAAAGCAAAAAAAACCCCTCCTTTAAATTGTGGATGTGAGACAGTTTGCCTGAATGACAAAGAAGTGACTAAAATAGTGCATACCTATAATCCTCTGGGAGGCTAAGGCAAGAGGACCATTCAAGCCCAGCTTGGGCAATTTAGCAACTTAGCACAATCCAGTCTCAAAATAAAATAAAGCAAGCACTGGTGATATAGCTCAGTGCTAAGACCCTGTGTTCAATCCTTGCTACTAAGGGTCTGGGGGAATAAACCACATATAATCCCAGCTCTTAGAAGAGTGAATCAGAGGAATCATGAGTTGAAAGCCAGGCTGGGCTCCTGGAGATGAAGCTAGAGACTGAAGTAAAACAGCCCCCTGCCAAGGAACACCACAGACTGCCAGCAACCATCAGAGGCCGGCAAGAAACAAGCAAGCAATGGCTCCTTATCCCTACGCCCCTCAACTGCCACCAGCCTCGTCCTTAGGAGGGAGGTAACATCTTGCACTTGGATGATGGCCTCCAGAACTGAGAGAATAAATTTGTTTAAGCCACCTGATCTGTGGTAATTCATTACAGAAGCCTCAGGAAATGAACACAGGATTTTATGCTAATCTATTCTTACATGTTTTGCAATTTCTGTGATTTCCAAATGGCCCATTCTTCACAGATGCAGACTTTGTAAAAGGAACTAGATTCATGCTAATGTAGCTGAAGGTCAGAGCAAAAATCACACTTCAGCTTTCCTGTTAAATGGGCCTTGGTCTTCCTTCTCAAGCCCCCTCTCAAAATGAAGTTTTAGGGTCATCCAGATGGCACCTGTCACTCAGCTTTCAGAATATCAATGCATAGGTCTCCCCAGTCCTTCTTTATCCTGGCCTTACCTAAATGTTTCCTCACAGAACTTCTAGCGTGAAGGATTTACTGTCACCACTTCCTATTATATAAACTCATGCGCATTTTACAATGTCTCATAGCCCTCTCCATAAAACCAGGGCCCTATGGTACACACAGGGCATGTGGGCACAAAGAGGGTATAAGTGGGGAAAGCCCAAAGGTAGGGCTCACCTTGCTGGGAGGTACTGCCCCTCAGGTGACCTCAAGGGCACTCAAGGGCCCTTTGGTGCTATCATGTGTACAGTGAAGGGAAGCAAAGCTTAACACTTGCCTACTGGTGGCATCTCACTGGACACAGCCTGGCCTGGCCCCTCCAACTTCCAGGTAACAGAACCTTACCTTATCACCTGCAGCCACCCCAGTGAGTACTCATAAGGCCTGGCTCCTGTGGGTTCATCCACACCAAATCTTCCAAAGGAGACTGTAGTGACCCTTACAGTGACTTAAGGCCTAATATACCCCAAAGCCTTCAGGTTCCCCACCCAAGGAGACTCTTAAGGGCTTTATTTTCAGGCCTGGCCTGACAGCAGCCCCATCCTGACCAGTCAGAGATATGCGGGCAGTGTGACACAGTGTTTATTTTGACCCTAGTAGGCCCCCACTATCCCACCGCAGGGCTCAGAAAGCCTGTTTGTGATAACTCTCCCCTTTAATTTCCAAGTTCACACTCTGACTAGCCAGTAAGCTCACTCAGCACTCAGGAACAGTCTCTTCCGTGAAGTGTTTGTATACGGGTGCCAGCGCCATTCTACATCTGCTGTAGCCTCTTGATCCAGTGTCCCCAGGCGAATCATGTATACTACAGAAAGAGACAGACAGACAGACATTATCATCTGCACAGAAGCCCCCACTCCGCTGACTTCCCCACGTGTAGGAAAAAACCCCAAACTTACACTTCAGCTCAAAGCGAGGCCCAACCTCTGTCAGCTCTATGTTGCAGTGGTCTGCCTTCTTGTAGACGTGGTGCCTGAGGAGAAGCCAGGGTAGGAGTATGGGCTGGAAGTAACTGTAGATCAACCACACCAAGGACACACAGGTCATGACAACAACTGGGCTCAACCCAGGAACCCACCGGAATGAGATGTAGTCATCTTGATTTGCAAAGGTGATAACCCGGTGGCTGTCATCTTTGGGCACAGGGAAGAGGTAACGGAGGATGTCAGACACCTGAATCACAGGGGAAAAAGGTGGCAAATGCCTGGCCTGGCCTCTAGCCCTCTCTGTGGGAACCCCAGACTTACCCGTCTGCCCAGACGAGAGGAAAAGCCATGGAAGATGAGGTGGGGCTTAGCTTCTGACATGGTTCCCAGGTCCGGGATGTCATGTCGCATGACGACGTTACACAGTGTGAAGTAAGCAGTGGGGCCAAATGGCAGGTGGCTGACAATGAGCCCCACTGTGGAGGCCAGACAGGCTGTCAGAGACCCTGACTGCTCTCAGGCCTCTCCCAGCCTTTCACCACCCAACCAGCCATACCAGGTGTGCCTCGATGTTCATGGACAACTAAGAGGTCAGTGACGCAGTTGACTTTGCAGGCTCTCACCAGTGCTTCTACCTCATGTCGGCCTCGGTTCATGCGCTGAGCACCAGGGAATACCAGCTTTAGTTCCTGTACAAGGACCAGTGTCCCATTAGGCATGTGGCCATGATGCTAGGCATCTCCTTTCACAGCCTGCCAACTGGTACCTTTGCAAACATCTTCAGGCGGGAACTAGGATCTCTGGAAGTAGTGATCATGATCTTGGGATCCTCAACCCCTGCCCATCGATATTCATCATCAGCATGGCTGGTCACACCTGCCAGGAGCACAAAAGGCAAGAATCCACTGGCTTGGATACGAAAATAGCAAGTCTGTTTGAGAAAATACTCAATGACAGGAACATACCATACCCACTTTGGTCAAGAGGACAGCCACTAGCCCACTATCTGTAAGTACAAGGCAAACTGAGGAATGGAATCCCCGTGTCTGGAAGGTTCTGCTAGGACCTACTTGTTTCCCTCACAACAAACACTTATGTTTATGATTCCTATTTGTTAAATAATATAATGAATGAGACATCTGGGCATCAAAGATGTGCTGTTTTAGGAATGGGTCCTGCCCTGGTAATGTTCCAATGGAGATGACAACTGATAAAGAAAGTGCTGATTTAACAGAATACTACTGTATTACACAAATGAACAGGAAGTACTGAGGGACAGCCGCTATGGTGTCATCTGCATAGGCATAAAGCCTCCTGGAGAATAGTTCGGAGCAGTTCTCAGGTGGGAAAGCACCCTGTGCCTGGGTGGGTATGGATGCGCAGAGGAGTCAACTGAGTGTTGGGGGAGTACATTTCACAGCACCTTCACCACCAGCGTCGTCAAATTCCAGGGACCCCTGTAAGTCTAGAGCCTCCTGGCGCAGTTCAGTAGGAATCAGGCGGTTTTCTGCAGGGAAAAAAGACACAGGGGCTGAGTGAAAAATCAAGCAGGAAGCCCTCAGTTTATACCACACTGAAGCAGTAAGACTTTTTCTTCAGCTGTGACTCCAGATGAGACCCAAGGAGGAGTTTCATAGTCTCTTTGTTACCAGCCACTTAGACTTATACAGCAGGTTTGCCTGCTCGTGCTTCTGATCAAATCAAAAGAGGCCATATTCGGATAAAATAGAAAAAAATTATTTAAAGCCAGTTCCCAGGAGACACAAGAGGCCATATGTCTTAAATCACCATCTCACCAAATATAGGTGGGCAAGATCTTTTGTAGCGAGAAACAGGAAATGGGGAGCGCAGAGAGGTACAGTAAAGCAAATCTCCACATTTATCACTTTTAGTCATCTTCAGCTCACCGTCCCCTTTCCTGTGGAAAGGGAACTTCGCTCCAGATTTTCTCTTGTTAGCATTTGCATATTCAAATTCACTCATCTGGGTGGGAAAAAGCTGTTCAGGCCTCAGAAAAGCCCCCTTTCTCTAAAGAAAACCAAAACGAGACCAATCCTAATTTTAAAGTTCCATTTGGCAAAGCCGGTTACACCTCTGGGTTTTATTGACGGCTGCTTTCTCTCTCCGTGTTTGCCTCTCATTGCACGGTGCCAATCTTAAAAGGGCATAGGAAAGGGCGATACAGCCCGAAAACTGGGAACGGCGGCATAAATGAGAAACAATTAGTACCAGCACATGAAAGGAACACTGAGCAGCTAGTAGAAAACCCCAACGCGCAAGGAAAAGGGCCAGTAAATACTGAAAATACGTTCCGCCCAGTCACACAAACACGCCTGCCAGACCGGCCAGGGCTCGGCAGCCTGTACCTTCGAGCGCGCGCCGAACCTTCTCCTTCCGCTCCTGTGCTCTTTGCCGGGCCTCCTCGCGGGCCTTGCGGTACAGATACTCCCGGCGAAGGCGGGCCTCGCGGCGCAGCTAGACAAAAAAGGAAAGTCTAAACTCTGAAGGATCGCAGTGCAAGCCCTCCTCAAGATCCCGGCTCAAAAGTCTCCTTACCATTTTGAGCGCCACTTCCACGTGAGTCTACAACTACAGATGTCGCCAGCGTCCAGCAGTCCTCGTTTCCGCCCTCAACCTGGAGGCTTCACTCGGCAGTACAGCTGTCAAGAACGCCCTACGTTAAGATGGCGAAAAGAGGAAGCAGTCACAACGTGCGACACGGTTCCTCACAGCGTGGTCGCCCGAGAAACCAATCAACCGTAGAATGTTGTCGCGTGACTCACCGCGGAGCATTAGTAAAGATGTCTGCCGCGGCTTCACCACTAGCTACTATGATGGAGGATGCCCAACAATTGCTTACGGCCACTGCTCCCTTTAAATGGTTGCTATCAAGCTTCGTACTCTTCCATACCGACCTTAAAAATCCATCGCTTCTTGAAGCGGTGGGAGCCACCCTTCCCAGCCAGCTCCCTGACAGTCGGTGGGCCGGTTATTTGGCTCACTGATCGGAGCTATCGATTGCTCCGCCTTGCTGGGGAGGGTCATTGACTTCCGGGCCATGAATGGGAACGCCCTTTGGGGCGGCTCGTGAACCTACTGGTTGTCCTGCTGCCGCGACTAGAAGTGATTATACGATCTAGAAGGAGGGGACTCTGGCCTTGGCCTCAGCGCAATTGAGACTTGACTGTGGCAGCCCATGGGTGGTCAGGACCTGCGGGCAGAGCTGGACTCGCTGCTCGTGCAGCTGCTCAGCGATCTGGAGGAGCTGGAGACGAAGCAGGTGGCACTGAATGCCCGGGTGGAGGAGGTGAGCGCCGGGAGAGGGAGGGAAGGAAGGGACACGTATGTAAATTGAATGTCTGCACTCTCCTATCAATTCAGGGCTGGCTGTCGCTTGCCAAGGCTCGATACGCCATGGGTGCCAAGTCGGTGGGGCCCCTGCAATATGCCTACCGCATGGAGCCGAGGGTCTGCGTGCGAGCCAGGTGAGGAACCCTCAGTGTTGAAGCGAGTAGCTAGTGTTCAAGATCAGGCCATTGACAATTTGTCCTCCCTTGTCTTTCAGTGAGGACCAGGATGGACTACAGACATTCAGGATAGTGAGAGCTGATGCCCGGACTCCAGAGGAGGTGGGGCCTCGAGAGGCAGGTGAGTTGCCTTTTCTCCTGTCTGGACGCCTTTCTAATGTCCAAGAAAAAAAAATGCATGGAATAGTTGAATATTAACGATTGAGTCTGGCAATAGAGAGAGCGTCTAATGAACTTTCAATTCCGGCAAATCATTCCTGAGATGAACAGGGGCGTGGAAGGTCCTTGTCAAATCTTTTGGCTTGTTCAGACAGTGGGTAAGTGCAGCCTGTGGCCTTGTCATGAGCAAATAGCTCGTGTGTGGATTTTATGGATGCCATAAGACAGAATGGACAGAGTATCTGAATTACAAGAGTGGTGCTGTTTCCAAGAACAAAGAAGTTCGGGAGAGTTTTTTCTGCTGTCTTTGTCACTTTTCTTGTTTTGGGGACATAAAACCTGGAATCCACAGTTTAACAAAGAAGCAGTTTTAGCTCACATTTTAGTGCACAGTCAGTTGCCTTCAAGGTGGGTGTCATGGCAAAGGGGCATACCTGACAGGAAGCAGAGAAGGTCAAGGAATATTCCAGGAGTGGGGTTACAACCTGCTAGGTCACACTGATAGTTACCTCTTCCAATCAGAGCCCACCTCCTAAAAGCAAGTCAGCTTTAACATACCCTATAATTTAATTGCCCTCAAAAACCTGACCTATGAGCTCATGAGGCTCTTGGGAGGTGTCCAGATATAAACCATAACATCATCCTCCAGTGTTTTGCAGAATCAGACCTCAAACTAAGCTCAATGCTGTCTAAGCCAATAAAGGACAGCCTCTAGCCTTTCTTTCCTCAGTTCTGCGAAGGCGAAAGGGCTCCACCAAGACTCCAGAACCAGAGGTCTCTGCTCCACAGGACCCCCTGCACTGGTTTGGAATCCTGGTTCCTCACAGTCTGCGACAGGCCCAAGCCAGCTTTCAGGATGGTAAGTAGACCAGGCTAGTTGTCAGTGTGGCCCTGAATTAAATTCTGGCCTCCTATCCACAGAGAGCACTTCAGCACTAGCATGCTTTTGGGCTTTTCAGGTTTTCTCAATTGCAAGTGTTTGTTATACCCTGCTGTTTATTCCAAAAGCATTCACTGGCTGATGGTATCATTCTAGGCTCATGCTAGCTTTAAGGGGAAGCAGGGACCAAAAGGGACAAACTTCCTTCGTGAAATGTTTGTTTTATGGAAGGGAGAAAGACAATGTGCAAATAAATAAGTCAGCCTTTAATATAGTACAAATCTGTGAAAACTTATAAACAAGTTACATGGGATGGAGTAGGACAGGAATGGGCTGAGGGAATATTGCAGGAAGGGTTAGGGAAAGTCTCTCTGAGGAGATGAGGGGAAGTTCTATGGCTATTATGGAGGAATAGTGTTCAGTTAGAAGGATCCTGAGGGGAGATATATCCTGTGTGTTGGAGGAAGAGCAGAGAAGAGATACGCAGGAAAGGAAACTGAGGAACACAGGTGTGCCAGGTAATGAGGAAAAACTGTTTCCTGGAAAGAGTGATAAGATGAAAAAAAAATAGTGGTAAGATGTGCTCCTGAGTAGGAGGACTGCCTGTTGGACTGGGTGATGTGAAGACTAGATGGCAGCGATATTGGCAGAAACTACCTATAGATTGATCCAGAATCTGTCACTTTCTAAAGAAAGAAAAGGGGTGCAAGGAGTGGGTAAAAATAGCGAGGGACTGCACTGATGGGAGAAGGAAGGAAATGAGCTTACAAGAATGTGTTACAATCTTGAGTTTTCATTCTTGGTGGGTAATAAAGTGTGTTAAGGCATTCTTCTGAGGAAGTGACACCTTAGCACAGACCTGAAGCAAGTGAGAGAGTATGAGTACAGTGAAGTGCAAAAGTACCCAATGCATGGCCATAACTGGAATGTTTTAGGAATACTGTGGAGGCCTTTGTAGTCCTGGGGTGGTGGGATGAGGTGTTCAGAACCTTCTGGGTCATGTATCACACCATGATACTATGGTGACATTTTGTCTTCACTTCCAGGTCTTCAGCTAGCTGCAGATATAGCCAGTCTCCAGACTCGCATTGACTGGGGTCACCGCCAATTTCAGGGGCTACAGGAGAAACTAAAGCAACTGGAGTCTAGTGCTGCCTGACCTGTGACCACAGAGGCAGATGTTGAGCACTGCTGTCCTGGATGTGGCCACCTTATCTCAGTCATTCTGCCTCATCTAATGCCCCTTAAGAAATGTTTCCTACTGCGTATTTCTAAGTTTTTAGGTATGAAGTTTGAAAAGGCAAACAGTAATGTTGAAAGTCACTTCTAGGCCAAAGTTCTCATAGTACCCACCACCCAGGGAGCAGGTAAAGAGCTGTTCATGTATATCAACAGTTAAACATCCTCAGATCAGTTTGGCTTTGTTGCCAGATAATGAAACACTGTGAACAGTGGCAGGAAGGGACAAGAGAAAATGCTTCAGGATCAGCAGATCATCAAACCTAATGTGGATGGAAGAAAAGACCATGGATAACTAACGTATCCAGATGGTATGATTCCATTCAGTAAAAACATACCTACTTGGTGTAATGAAGCACACCCGTACTTGGAAAGCTAAGGTAGGAGAATCACTAGATAGCTCCAGTGCAGAATCAGCCTGGATAACATAGTGAGATCACCTGTCAAAACAAGAAGAAGGCTGGGGAATAGCTCACAGACATAAGTGCCTGCCTAATGAGCACAAGATCATGAATTCAATTCCCATTACCAAAACAAAACAAAAAAGAAGCAGTAGATGGGCAGTTCTTAACAAGGTCTAAACAAGGAAATAAAAGATCAGACTTAGATTTTCAAGGGAACTCTGAGAAGAGGTCCTGCAAGTTAAAACCTTTCTTTGTCTTTCCTAGAGTTCATCTTTCTGTCTTTGTTTATCGAAGGGCCAGTTATGCTTCCTGTTTTGGGAACTGTCCTGCTTGACTTTTCTACTGTGGTGTTACCTTTGTAGTAGTTTCTGGCAGATTTTTGTTTGGTGGATGGTACTGTAATACTTGTTTATACTAAGATGTAAATAGTTTTTCTCAGTTTGTCTTTTACCATTGCTTTTAGTGTTTAAAATTTTCCTCATTGCAAAATAAAACAGGAAACCTTGTGTCTTCAAATCAATTTTTACTGTATGTTTCTAATTTTTGAATTTTAGAATTGAACTTTTCAGGTGCTGTTTTTAGATTTGGGGTCATAATTAATGTGATGAGAAGGAATCATCTGGCATTTCTCATGAACATCTGTGGTTTCATTTGGGATATCCATTGAATCCTGCATCCAACTTTTGTATCATGTATCTTGTAAAGTGTTAGTCAGTACACCCTCCTCCTGATCTGGGACACCTTTTGCATCCTCACAGTGTAAACTTAATAATGGAGCTTCTGCTGTTCTTAATTGGTCTTACTGTTATAGGCAGCTGAGGTGGTTAGAAATATAGGCAGTCAGACAGGGCTAGGCCCTCAAGGAAGCTGGCACAGAGGACCAGATGTCGGATGACTTTAGAGGAGACACACCTCTTACTGTGGGCCAGATCTCAGGACAAAAAGCAAAACAAATACAACCACACCCTTAAGATAATCTTAGGGATTAAATCTGGATCACCTTGAGAAGCCAGGAGTCATCATCCCAACCCCCTCTGGGAGGAGTCACTGTAAAGAATGCTTGCTTGCTATGTGACTTGCTTCCCCATTTGTCCCTGATTTGGTCAGTTTTACCTGAACAATTAAATTTACTGGTTGACTGTAGTTCTGTCCCACTTCATGCCCATCTAGATGCCTTGTGAGTTCCCATTTTTTTCCCACTTTAGACCTGCTTCACATAACAAAACAGAACAAAGCAGATAGAAGAAAACAATGTAAATGACATATTTCAAAGCAAGACAACAGGAGATCAACAGTGGCTAACATGTCTCTCGTTTTCTTCTAAATAGTTGTCTGTCTCTTCAAACAATAAATTCATACAAAACAAAATAGTATAAAACTCATCAGAACAGAGTAATGAAGGCAATTATAGGCCTTCAGAATTAGACATAGGAAAATTAAGAATGGTTGCCTTAAGTCTCTTGTTCTCTTTATGACAGCTGTCCATACCTTCATGTATGTTGAAATTAAATAATACAAAACGTACTAAAACCACTCTGAATAATAATACTGGATTTTACAGCATGACTATAGGAAATCAGCAATGGATACCATAATGTCTCTTTTCCTTCAAAGTAACTATTCATCTTGCATAATACAATCAATTCTCATAAACTGTTTAGGAGAAGTTCTAGGCATGTATAAGCCTCTAAATATATACCTTTCTGTAGTAGAGGAAAAAATAAGGCAAAACATTACTAGAAAAACAAGAAAAGAGCACAAATAAGTAACGATAGCAAACAGCCCAAAATGATGATATAGGCCTTCAAAACAAGGTGGTAGGAACATAACTAAGGTAGTTATTTTACATGGTGATCTTTACAGTTCCTCAGATCACCAGACACAAACATGCAAATTGTTCCAATTCTATGGATGTTAACCTGTTTATTCTAAGAACTTACAGAATCTGTAGCACAATCATCTTAGCTATCCTGTGTGTTTATACAAATTTAGATATTTTTTTCTTTTCCCTTTTTTCTCCTTTTCCCTGAGATTTTTTTTTTCTCTCTGAGTAGATTCTTACTCTTTCACTATATTTACTGAGGATTTCGTATCTTACGTACTCTTAGCATTTCTTACACTGGGAGACAATATGGTATTTACACATGTGAGTTTGATTTATTTGTATGCATATGGTCTCAAATTGCATCTGTTTGCTTATAAATATCTCAGTGTGATCATTCTTTATAGCTGAGTAACATCTTTATAGCTGAGTAGCATCTCATTGTGAAGCAGGTTCATGAATAGTATAAGAATCCAAGCAGCCAAATTGATAAATTTGGAACATTATTATTGGAGCTCAGGACCACTGGCATATACACCCCTGTTTCAGAGTCCCATTCATTGGCCCTGAACTGGAAAGTTACAGAGCTTTTTAAAACAGAAAATCACAAAATGACATTCTATTAGAAACAATTTAGCTAGAATCTTACATTAATTTTTGGTTGATACCTGTATCCTGCTCCTTTGTTGAGCAGGTTAATTTTTCTTTTGTGGGTACAGTTCATTTTGCTTTTCTTATGGGATTGTACTTGATAGAATTTTGGCATGGCTAAAAAGAGAAATATGAGATAAAAAGTGGCCTTTATTTTAAGAACATGGAGAGAGAACCCCCAACCAGTGAAGTCTGGCTTTCTCTCTGCTGGACACCTGCTGTGGGGGCACACTTATAGTTTACGTTTGGGGTGGAGCCTAAGGGGCATTACTGATGCACAGGTAGGTAATCCATTGGAATTCATTTCGCACCACAGGTAAATTGCTTAGGGACGGGGAAGGTGACCTTTTGTGATAGCTCGGACCCCAGAATAAAATCCAAGGAAGCAAGATATTAAAATTTAGGGAGCAAAGGCTTTATTTTAGGCCAAGCCTGGCGATGCAGTCTCCGGGAGCCATTATGGAGACTGTGCACCTTACAGCTAAAAGGGTTGGGTTTTAAAGTCAAAAACCACAGGAATATTGTGAACTTTGACACAGTTTGATAGCACCTGGGCTTCTTGGTATCTCCTGTAACTTCCTCGTAGTTAAACATTTCTTAAGGAATAGCACATTTTATTACAGATAGGCTGAAGGGGGTGGGGGCATTATAAGAAGCTGAAACTTAAGGCTTTTACGGGAAATGGAGACTTAACCTAAAAAGAATGGGGGGGGTTTTACATCCCAAGTCTTTACTGGAAATGGAATTTTAATCTCTTGAAACGGTGCATACAGAACAGGAAGGAGGCGCATTGGTTAGAACTAGGTTAAAACACTTTCACCTCCCAGCACTGCAGTGTCCCCTTTAGGGCAAAATCCTTTCAGTACTCTAGGGAATTTTTCATTCTCCTGGGTCAAATACAAGGCAGTAGTTAAATGCAGGGCTAAAGGTGGCATGAGTTATGCCAAGCTACTACATTCCCCATTGGCTTTAGTACATCAGTCAAATCTTTGATTCCTGGTCATCTTTCTTAAAAAGTCATCTTCTTCATCTACATTTCACAAATCTTATTTGGAATATAACCATTAACTTAATAGATTGGACTCCGCTTTGGATATAATGCATTAAACAATTTATCATGCCAGAGCCAATAGTAATGGCCAGCAGGAAGAAAATCAGGGGTCCTGCCAAAGCCAAGAGTAGCCATGGTGGTCAGCCATGGTGTGGTGGAGAACAAATTTTCATACCAATTCTGTGGATGATGTCTCTCATTTTCCCTATCAGCGAGGTGCTTTCTGAGCTGACTAAAACTGTCCTTAATAACTCCTAAATAGTTGATGTAAAAAAGAATCATCCAAGGGCTAGGCATAGACCTGGTTTAAGAACAGGAGGTCTAGACCTCACCAGTTCTGAAGGACTATTTCAGCCAGAGAGTTTAGAAACGCCTCCAGGTGATGACATTTTGATCAAGTGTGCCTAGATCATGATCTACTTCTTTGGTAGTATCTGGTAATTTTAGTCTCCCACTATGAGGGCTGTGGTTCCTAATGCTGTAGTACTAGCTATTCCTAATCGCAAAAGGACATGAATTAGAACTGGGGCCCTCTTTTTTCTTGTGAAACCCCATATGTTCCCTACTTCCTTCTCCAGAATACCAGTACACTTGGGGAAGAATATAAGTTAAGATACAGAGTTCAAGGTTAGGTCCAGTGAAGACAGCCAGGTGAGCACAAGGGGTGAGGCCATTTGTACAGGCAAACCAAGTTCCCAGCAGGGAGACTAAATCAACATTTAGATTGAGGGGGTAAGAGACAATTTGTACATAATATACTTGAGTTGAAATGGGGAGCAGTTCAAAGAGAAACTTACAGACTGAACACAAAGTCCAGAGTCCTGAATGTTTCCCAGAGTGAGGGACTTAAGTCCTTGTCCCCAACATGAAGAACCAGAATCAAGCTTTAAGGGATGTACAATCTGGTTTCAATCGTTGGTCCCAACAGTTGTGTTCACAAGAAGTCCCATGTTTACAGGGTCAGAGGATGGCTCAGAATTTAAGCATAACCAACAGTCTTGAGTAATGTTGGCGGATGAGCTATTCAGCCATGTAAATATCAGTTCAAGAGAGTGAAAGACAGGACTCTTAGATTGTAACTGTGCTGGGCATGAAAAGGTCATTTGGGGATAGATGGGGAGAGAGGAATTTGTGGCAGAGGTAGCCGCTTGAGTGGGGAACCCCTTTGGTGGCAGGGTGAGCCCATGAGAGGACCTATAGGTTTTAGATGTATCAAAGTATTTCCGGGTTTTCTCTGGATGGTAAATTGCAAACCAATATCCTACCCAGTGACATAGAGTCTAATGCCCCTAATTTTTTGTCCATTCCAAGAATAATCTCTCAATTTCTTAGGCCAAAATAAAATGTAGCCTTTATGGAAGTCATACCGAGCTGACAGATAACGGTCAAAATTTGACCAGGGAGCTCTAGTTTCACAACCCCAAGCAATTTGGTGACAATAATAATAGTGGCACAGGTTCAACCCAGAATTAGTGGAGCATCTATCCACATTGTGTCACCGGACATAAATATAATGGGATATTTGGGTCCAATGTGAAAAACTCAGCTGGAATCCAGGCAGCTGAGCCAAAGTCAGTGCATTCAAGGTTATTTCTGTCAGCCCACCCCATAGTTGAAGAGAGGGTGACATTAACAAGGGGATTCCCAAAGCTTCTGGTAGAGACTAGGGTTACTCCATCTGAAGTTCTAGTTATAACCCACATACAAGCTACAAGGTGATGGTCTTTGTGGGAATAGGTGGAATAAGGAAGATTATACGCATAAATAGACTTAGGATTCATATATTTGGATATTGACCTTTATGGCATCAGAAGACTTTTTGATAGTCCACTTAGGTGGAGTCTTTGGTCTTGCAGACTTGAAATGGGAGTGATAAATCCAATGGCTCTTCCGGGACCTTGACAGTCATGGGAGCACTCAAGGTAACTGTATAGGGTCCTTCCCAGTGGATGTCTATGGATGTGGGCTGTCTCCTACTGATGTAGATTTGATCACC